TACGGTAACATGGACGATAACCAACCGGACATGTACATGAATCCATCTGAATACAAACACAAATTTCTGATATAAATAATTTTAATTGTTTTTTTTATTTTTTAATTAATTATTTCAACTTTTTTCGGCGAGATTGGTGCTGGTTTCACTCCTATTCATTCATGCAATACACGCAAACTTGTTGTTGTTAATACAAAATATATGAATGTCGCATCCATACTCCTCTTGTGTGTATTGTATGTGCAGTACTATATAATTATAATATATAATAGTTATAAACTAGCAGTCTGAAATTACTTTTATGAATAAAGAAAACGCACAGATGCATCAAAAGCTGTAGAGTTGCGGTATGATTCTATGGATTGAATAGAACAAGGCTCAGGTGTATGCAGAGGAGGCAGAGTATCGTGGTCTTCAGGGGGCCGAGTTGATGAAGTAGTAAACTCCCCTACAGGCTCTATTATAGGTGGTGCTTTTGTTGTAAACAAAATAACCTCCAATGGATCTCTTTCATTCGGATCTGCAAAAACAAACAACATTCTTATCCTGAATTATATATAAACAACTAAACACTAGAAAGATGCCTGAAATATCGCTTTGTTTACACCCCAATCAAGCAATACACCTTAAAGCTGCTGCAAATAGTCTTATATACAAACGAGAAACAGATATCTCAACCCTACAAGAAACTGAAGAGAAAAAAAACAAATACGAAAATCCCGATGAAAGCGTGCAAATTTCAATCAAATATAATTCAGAAAAAGAAAAGAAATCAGAATATGAATCAAGGCGAATGAAACGCCCACAGAAACTTGAAATGTTTGAACCCATGCTATCCCCCCAGCGCTATCACTGCAATAAGAAAGCGTTATTTCTATCAACTGCTGTCTACCTCAATACCCTAAACTCTAAACCCTAGACTGTAAACGCCGCTTTCTACGCAAATTCCTCATCACTCGCGAAATAAAATGAAGCATTTTATGAAATTTCGTTGATATTTTCATGAATTGCGGTGTATCGCGAGGTATTTTTTCTCTCTTTTGAGAGAAAA